CAGTGTGTGACCTGGTCATAGAAGGCTACAAGGTTTGTCAGGCAGGATCTACATGTGACAAACCCGTGCTGGTTTCCCCTCAGCATCGTTTCCCCTGCTGGGCCTTCACAAATGTGTTCTTTGATTATTTTCTCTAGCATTTTCCCAGGAATAGAGGTAAGACTGACTGGTCTAAAGTTGCCCGGCTCATCCCTTCTCCCTTTCTTGAAAATAGGCACCACATTGGCCCTTCTCCAGTCCTCAGGGACCTGGCCGGAGCACCACAAGCGCTCAAACAGCTGTGCCAGCGGCTCAGCTATGACACTGGCCAATTCTTTCAGCAGCCGTGGATGGAGGTCATCCGGGCCTGCTGACTTGTACCCATCCAGCTCATCCAGGAGCTCCTTAACTATTTCAGAACTAACCGTAGGTGGACTGGTGTCATGTGGACATCCATCAATGATCGAGGTGGGGGAATTGGCTTTGTCAGTACATAGAAATATTGAAGCGAAGAACTCATTGAAGAGCTCTGCTTTTTTCCCCGCGTCAACCACCAACTGTCCTGATTTGTCCTGGAGGGGCCCTATGTTGCTCTGAGCTTTCCTTTTGCTTGCTATATAGCTGAAGAAGGACTTTTTATTGTCCTTGATTGTTGAAGCCAGCCTGAGCTCATATTCTCCCTGCCTGGGGTAGCTTCAACAGGAAGGGCAGAGAGTGCTGGTGGCTCTGCTGGATAGAGCATCTTGCTGGGAGGTGTAGATTGAAGCTCCCCTCTGGCTGACGGAAATGTCTAGAATTTGGCTCTTCCACTCCCTGAGCATGTACCCTATACACTAAACTGTTGGACTATAAGGTGAGAGAGCCTTCTTGCTTCTCCAACTTTCCGGATATCAATTTCTAGTGGTAGTTTATCTGCAGCTAACGTTTCCAAGACTTACTCAGAGTTGCATGCCTTCCTAGGCAGAACAGAATCATAACAAAGTGTAAGTGACCAGGCCAGGTCCCTTCTGAGCGATCAGAAAGGCAGAGTAAGTTACTCAGGTAGGGAAAAATCTGCGTAAGTGCTACTAACCCACCAAAAGGGAAGTTGGGATTTGTCTGTGATGACTGAGACATGCACATTTACAAGGGGGGTATGCAAATACTAGTCTAGCTAAACAGTTTTTTCATTTCATGAAAACATTTCCAAAATAGATTTTCATTATAAATGCATGATGTGTGGTTATTTTAAAAAGTCACTCATTTCAGTTAACAGGCATAATTTTCTTTGTCATTTATGGGTAATACAATCATTCCAAACTCATGCCAGTTGATCATTCATGTATGATGCCATGCTTTGTAGGATAGAGCTGTTTTCACAAATATCTTCTCCCCACACATGGTATATACATGCATGTTTACCTATATTGTATTCTGTGTGTTAACTGGTACAAAATCTGATCCACACTCATTATTCTTATTCAGATCATCATATGTTTCTTTTATCCTGACATCCTCGGAAATTGTTTACCTTTTGAATGGACTAAAATTGTGTTTTAAATCCTTTGAAAGTTTCATTTTAATATCTCTTCCACATTTTGTTTAATGATTTCAGCCTCCAGGAGGCAGCAAAAATTTGTGGGACCTAGTTGCTGTAATAAAAGGACAGGATGATAGTTTGCTTCCACAAAACTACTGCAAAGGGATTATGCATATGAAACATCTGGTCAGATTTAAAATGGTAAGTAAAGCTTGCAGGCCATGTGAAACTTGTTAATCTGTAGTTTTATGTTTCAGTCATAAAAAAATATAAAATCCTGCTGCTTTACTGTGAATAGGAGACCCAGATTAGAAGAGAGCTATTTCTTGCTTTTGCAATGGCTTGTGTATGAGAACCTGCCATATGAATGATGCGTATATTATTGACAGGCCCTTTTACTTCCTGCAGACATACTGCATTCTTGTCAGGGTCACAAATCATTCACTGGCCTTTTTGTTTTATTCCTTATGCTTTAAGGTTTTTTTCAACCTGGCCCTTCTATTTTTCCACTCCTAGATTTTACCAGATTGCCGTACTCTTCAGTCTACCAATGACAGGTGGCCTATTTTCCTGTCTCCACTTGAGCAAATGCATACTTTCTTCCACATCTTCCCCTAGAATCCTGCCCCGCCTTGCCAAACCTGTCTGTAAACTTAGAACACAGTATTTTTTCAAGTCCTTAAGATACAATACAGGTGAAATTCCCAACAGGTCACAGCTATGTAAATGTTCAGGAGAGGCTTCTGATTTGTGTTAAATTAACTTATTTTGTCCTTTATTCATTAGACAGTTTTACTTACATGGGGCAGGAACTGTATTTGATTCTGTACTATGTGGTGAACAACTACAGTGGGGCTATGATCTAACTGGGCCTCTTGCTATTTTAAAATATGTAATACTTATCCTTCTCTCTTTTTTTTCCTGTGAAAAATTATTTTTTCTGCATTTCCCTGGACTCTCATTTGTCTCCTAATGAGTTAATCAGGAGGAACAAGACCAAGTGAAATCAAGAATCTGAGTGTGTAACTACTCCATAAGTCATTACACTATTGGATGTCATTACACTATTAGAGCCCAGAGGCAGGCTGCTGGTGACCAGAGAGTGCGAGAGTCCAGAGAAAGGGGATGAAAGTATTGAGGGTCTGAGTAGAATGAACATCAAGAAACATCTTTGAATGGTAACACCCGTAAGGCATAGGGCATGATATAGGGGAGGACGGAGCCACACAATGAGTTCTTAAAGCTACAGATGCCCGGCAGGGGCATGGATGGGTTGAGAGGGCCTATTTAGCTTGAAGGTGGAGCTGTGACTAAGGGGGTCCAGGAGAGGCCCAGTGGTGGTTTGTATGGACTCAGGCTCACTCTGAAACCCACGGGCAGTCTTCCTTACACAGCATCCAGTAAGAACAAGGCATATCAGGCAAGTGATCAAGGGATGGCTACATTAGAGCCTAAACTGGGCAGGAGCCGCATGGCCACCAGGGGGCATCCATGACCACCTGTGTGGCCGTGATCCTACTACAATTCTATTCCACTGAGATGCCATATAGGTCAAATAGAATTTAAGCCTAAGTATAGTTTTGAATGTGCAAAGTGATTGACTCTGCTATCATGTTGCTGAAGCAGCAAACAAAAATATTTGTCTTTTAATAGCTCATCAGGGTCAAACTTTTATCACTACATTATTTTAATTTAATATATTCTTGAACAGTACAATCAAAATATTTTTGATGTATCTTATATTGTATCTTGTATTGGACCAACGGTATATTGGAGTGAGCTACTTGACAAGCTTTCAGGCATCAAGTGCCATCCCTCCCACCTAGGGAAGAGGCAGAAACAGGCTGAACTAAATAGCAGAGAAGAACTATGCACCAGAATGAACTCTCAAAGAAAAAAACATGAAGGACAGAGGCACACAAGCACCAATAGGAGCTCACGTTTCACAGAACAACTATTCCCTCTTCAGAATCACAGTCCTTATACTGAAAGAGAATTTACAAAACAACTCCAGAAGACATGCTTAGAATAAAAATTCATAACCTTGGCCCCCCTCTACACATTACACCTGTTGCACAATTACTTTAGACTGGCTACCCATGCAAACTAACTATGACGCCTTAAAGATGGCCAACCAGCTATAAGGTTATTGCTGGGAAATGTGTAATAACTTTATAGCTGGTTTCTATCCAGCTTTAATTTGCACATGCAGCCTGTGCCCCTCCACAGCTGGGACACCAGAGGTGCTGTGATCTATTTTACTGTACTAACTAGATTGCCTATTCTGCTGCATGTCTATTGTTTTCACTAGGGCTCCTGATAACCTCTTCTCTCTTAGCTTGCATCCACAACAACACTCCAATCCTACTACTCATAATCAAAACAGGTAACTTTTAAAGGAAAAAAATGACCATAGAGCATGCAACATAGAGCATGTGGTAAGTTTTTTGGGGTTTTTTGTTTGTTTTTTTTAATGGGGAAAAGGTAATTAAATTCTCCAAGATCCTAAACTTTTCCTTTAAAAAAAACCGCATCTGTTATAGTTATGAAGATAGTCTTAGCATGTTAACAGAGTTTAATTCATCCAGCGTTTGTTTCCTAAGTGGGCAGGAAGCACATTCTGGTGTTGCTCATCAGTTGCTGGTGTTGCTCATGTTTTTTTCAATGACAGCTTTGCTATTATCATTGAAATATTGGGTTGTAATGCTTATCTGTCTGTCTTTTTTTGTTTGTTTGTTTGCCAGTCCAAAGCACAAGAACTAACAACTGTAAAGATGTCCAAATTCGGAGGTGGTATTGGTGCACCGAGCAAGGACGAGAGGCTGAAGGAAGCAGCAGAAATACATTTAAGATTAGGGCAAATTCAGAGATACTGTGAACTTATGGTGGAACTTGGAGAGGTGAGATACATAATTGGTAACTTGAATCATTAGTAAGACTAGTAGAAGACAGTACTTGCTCAAAATCAAGCTAATTGTATACATGCTTTTACAGACAGACAGACATAATATAGCAAACAGTTTATACCTTTGGAAGCAATAAGAAACAAACTTAAAAGCAAATACAATAACTGAAAATGTTCCATGGAGAAAGAAATAAACTGGAAAACAATAGTATGTTTTCATTTCATCAACATTGTGGTAGAGATGGCATTAATAAGTGTGTGTGTGTGTGTGTGTGTGTGTGTGTGTGCGCGCGCGCGTGCATGCGCACGCACGCACACACACAGAGTTCGTGTATATATAGCTATCTGTCTGTATAGCTATATACAAACACACCATTGTTCATATCTGTATATCTATATAATCTCCTTTAGGAAATTTATTTCAGGACTGATTTACTCAGTAACCCAGAAATTCTCATTCTTCATTTGGTCCATAAGCTTGAATTGAAAGTGTGGTTCTATCAGTAATTCTGATCCCAGGAGGCAACAAATGTGGAACCCTAATGTGACATTCGGTCACATAAATACATCCATAGTTCTAGTCCTTGATTATATCAGCTCGCATGTGTTCAGTTCACAAGTAACAATTTTGTTTCTAAATGGAAAACATTTTGGCAAAATGTCTCGCTCTTGTGTTTTAGTGGGACAAAGCACTCTCAGTTGCACCAGGTGTGTCTATGAAATACTGGAAGAAGCTAATGCAAAGGTAAGGCAGAAAACACAATTTCACTTGTAGCATAGGCACAAAGAAGGAACAAAACAAGTATAAGTGCTAGGAAAGTAAACTGCAGTGGTGTCTGTTACAGCATTCCCCTGGTGTTGCTTTTATTGTCCATTAGCCATTGTGGTAGAACTGGCAAGCAGTTCAATAGAGATTACGTGTGTAGAAAGCCTGAACATTTTAAAACAACATTATTCATTAATTTAGAGGGTTGAGCTGGAGATCTTTTATTTCTTTTTATGAAAGAATCTTAGCTAAGTTACAAGTCACTTGGAATCTGGTAAGACAAAAGTGCTTTAATGAACTTCATATAATGCTTCTTGTTCTACTGTTGTGCTATAAAAAGTTAACATTAAGTATCCAGGTCACTTTTCATTTTAATTAGGAGATCTGACCAGTTAATTCAGGAAGAAAATGATGATGTCATCCCATACTGCATAGCTACTGGCGACGTGAAGAAACTAGTCACTTTTTTTACTTCAAGAGGCCAACTTAAAGAGGCTCTGCTTGTTGCACAGGTATTCCACATTATCTTGAGTTAGTGAGTAAAATGCATTTGGAAAAAGTAAATATTGACTGACTTCTTGGATATATGTTCTGTTAGGTGGTCAAGAAGAAAAATTCCAATACACATTGCAGATTTTGCTTGTATACTCAGTAGGGCTGTGTGAAGCTTTGGTTGCTGATTCGATTCAGTGGAGATTCGGCGACCGAATCTCCAAATCCAAATCAAATCAGGAGACCCTTTAATCTCTCTGAATTGAATCGGAACCCTCTGAATCGATTCAGAGAGATTTGATGATTTGGACATAGACAAAACTTTAAATGTTTTTTCTACATACCTCAAGGTACCAGGTGGTTTGTGAACACTGAGATGCTGGGGCAGATGGAGTATCCCACAGGAGCACGGAGGCGTCCCCAGTCCACTCGACAGCAGACCCGGACGTGAACCAGAAGCATTTTTGGTCCAGTTTTGGATCTGCCGCGGAGCGTGCGGGTGACCCCCCACCCTCGCTTCCCGGCTCAGTGACTAGTGCCTCCTGGGTCTGGGGGGGCACGTGGGGTCCCCTCGCAGCTGATCGCCAAGCCTCCGCTGCGGACCCAGAAGTGGTTTCCATTGCTTTTGATGAGTTTACATTTATAAATACACCGAGCAAGGTTTAGCCACAGAGGGTACTTATACGCATACATTTGTTTCCTCTGACGTGCTGGAAATCCAGCACGTTGGAGCACTCAATTAATTGAGTCTGTGGAGCACACAAGCTGATGCACCCAGTACTACGTTGCATGCATTTATATAGACAGTGAATTGTGTGTCAGCACTGAGAAAATGGCGGCGGTGCATTTTTGAACTAAAATACCTTTGATGTATTTTTGTTCAAAAGTGCACCTCTGCCATTTTCTCAGTGCTCACGCACATTTCTATGTTTATACAAATGTATGCATCACAGTGTCAGGCGCTATTAAAAGAGCCTGGTGCTGCGGTATAATCATGTGTAGAAATACTCTTCTTCAGCCAGCAGGGCCAGGGAGCTCTGGTAGGGAAGTGAGGGGCACCAGCAGGGCTGGGGGCTGTGGTTTGGGAATGAGGGGCCTGGACCTGCATCTTTATGAGCAAGGCGGGCAGGGAGAGCTCTGATTTCCCATGATAAAAAACTCAAAATCAAATACCAAAATTTATAGGCACTTGGAATTTATTTTATGCTAGTGATTGAGGCACTGGTAGGTTTCCAAATGGCTTTAAAATTATAAAAATTGCAATAAAACATTGTGTTCAATTGATACCTATATATGTATATAATGGCGTTTCATTTTAATTGTGGATTTTGGGGCTCTTATCAGAGAATGTGTGGTTTTTATCAGAGAATTTGCAATTTTTAAACAGAGAAAACAAGGACCCCTGCCCATAAGTTGCAGGCACTGCCAGCCTTCCAGCCAGGCACACTCTTAACTGCTGTCTACATGTAGCTGGGTCTCAGGCTGAGCACGTTCTTACACTATCTCTGACAGTGGCAGAAGTAGAAGATTTAGAGTATATTTGAAGGGGGTATCCCCGATTCATTATTGGTTTAGGAATGTCAGTGGAGGCATCCCTGAGTGTTTTAAGTGTTTTAGTCCTTCAGTGGCTTAGCTGGGCAATCCAAGTTGAGGGGTTGGGAGAAGACTGGTTTGGACAGAAGTGGAAACTATTCCTCGAGCTTAGGGCTGAGATGCAGGAATAAGGTAAAATAATTGTTCTGATTTCATAGTTTCATAGTAGCTAGGGTCAGGAGTGACCTGAACAGATCATCTAGCCTGACCCCCTGCCACAGGCAGGAATGAATGCTTGGTTCCACAGACCCCAGACAGGG